TCTCTAACTACCACTCCCCAACCTCACTCACTGTCACATCTGCCTGATCCCTGTATTTGAGTTTTCAGCTTAACAGCAGGACTTAAAAACCAACATAGAAAAAGCGCTGGAAACACAGTCTAAGGGCTGGCTGTGGGAGGTGGAATTATCAGTGACTTTATTTATTTATTTTTTTGAGATGGAGTCTCACTCTGTCGCCCAGGCTGAAGTGCAGCTCAAGCGATTCTCCTGCTTCAGCCTCCCGAATAGTTGGGACTACAGGCATGTGCCACCCCGCCCAGCTAATTTTTTGTATTTTTATTAGAGATGGGGTTTCACCATGTTGGCCAGGCTGGTCTCAAACTCCTGACCTCAAGTGATCCACCCTCCTCGGCCTCCCAAAGTGTTAGAATTACAGGCATGAGCCACTGCACCTGGCCATCCGTGATTCTGTAATAAAGAACTATTTTACAACAAAAACATACTGATTTCACAATTTTTTTTTTTAAAAAAGGAGTATATGAAACTTATTTCCTTTCTTTGCTTCTTTTTTGAGACGGAGTCTTGCTCTGTCACCCAGGCTGAAGTGCAGTGGCGCGATCTCGGCTCACTGTAACCTCTACCTCCCGGGTTCAAACAATTCTCCTGCCTCAGTCTCTTGAATAGCTGGGATTACAGGTGTACACCACCGTGCCCAGCTAATTTTTTGTATTCTTAGTAGAGACAGGATTTCACCACATTAGCCCAGATGGTCTCGAACTCCTGACCTCATGATTCACCCACCTCAGCATCCCAAAGTGTTGGAATTACAGGCGTGAGCCACCGCACACGGCCTCTCTTTCCTTTCTTAAACGGTATCCCCAGTGGAGCTATGAGACCAAAGGACCATTAGCCCAGAGGGTGGTGAATGTCAGGCCCCATGACTCTGACCCTAATACATATTAATGACTTACATTCAGATCCTGCCAGCAAATACTAGCAAATACCTGACCATTCTGGCCAGGAGGTCTATATAATAAAGAGGAAACTACAAAAATCACTGAGATTATTAACCGCTTTGGCCATTAAGGCGGCAAGATTACAGGACACTGTGAGTTAAAGGCTTCTGGCTGAGCAAAGTGCATCTTAGAAAGCTAAATATCCAGTTCTAAGGACTACAAGCACACAGCTCTGAGTTCTCCAATCTTCTAAACAAAAAGAAGGTTTCTACATTCTCATAGAAGTTTTATGCAGTAACATTTCAATTAGTAGTTTCATGTTGCTGGCTACAAAACGTTCACTGGTGAAGCTACTTATATTATCTTCTATTGCATGACATAGCAATTTTTTTACATGATTTTGGATGAATTACTATCTTACCTCAATTATATTATCCCCACTATGGAAGCATTTTAAAACCCATTTCCCATCTCCTTCCACTAAATGTTTTTATAATTGCTAACAGCAGAGGGCAGTAGGGTGCAGTGAAAGAAACAGGTCTAGATGCAGGATCTGGCTGTGGGGACTTAGGCACATCCCTTACACTCTGCATAGCCCTCAATTTGCCTTCTGTGAAATGGGGAGACTGACTCAGTTTCTTCCAATCCTCTTAGTCTATAATAGTGGTTGGCAAACTATAGCCCATGGGTCAAACTGGGCATACCACTTGTTCCTGCCTGGCCTGCAAGCTAACAAAGGTATTTTAACATTTCTTAATGGTTAGGGGGAAAAGAATTAATAGTTCATGAAACATGCAACTCGTATGAAATTTAAATTCCAGTGTCCAGACACCTTGGGAGGCCGAGGAGGGCGGATGACTTGAGTTCAGGAGTTCGAGACCAGCCTGGCCAACAAAGTAAAATCCTGTCTCTACTAAAAATAGAGGCTGAGGTAGGAGGATTACTTGAACCAAGGAGGGGGAGGCTGCAGTGAGCCAAGATCATGGCACTGCACTGCAGTCTGGGCAACAGAGCGAGACTTCATCTCAAAAAAATGTAAAAATTAAAAGAAATAAAATAAAAAAATACACTCCAATGTCCATTTAAAAAGTTTTATTGGAACTCAGCCACACACTACGACTGCTTTATTTTCCCTCTACCTATCTATCTCTCTATCTCTCTACCTACCTATCTATCGATCGAGCTAGAGGCTCACTCTATTGTCCAGGCTGGCGTGCAGTGGCACAATCATAGGTCATTGTGGCCTCAAACTCCCAGGCTCAACTGATCCTCCCAGCTCAGCCTCCTCAGTAGCTGGGACTACAGCAGCCTGTGGCTATGTTAGTGTAACAATGACTAAACAGTTGCATCATTGGAAAAAAGACCCAAAAAGCCTAAAACTAGCCCCTGACAGAAAAGGGGGCAATTTGCAAGATAAAAATGATTTTCAATATCACTCTCCCGTCCTTCACTTCACATTGGCTAATTTATGATCAGTAAAATGACCTAAGCACACGCCAACAAGGAGATACTTTAGGAAAGGGTCTTTAAAGCCTACAGAAATGGGGGCTTCTACTAACTTCTCACCTAAAAAGCCACTCAAAAGAATGAGGTATTTTGCCAGGAAGTCTGATGTCACTTATCTTTCTCCTTTAAACTAAACACATTAGCCATGTTCTTATATTCCTATAAAACTGAATTTTTTGCAGTGTGGTACATAACGAATGGTGGCATATACACCACGTTTCACATTACTAGTTATGTATTAATTTCACATGTAATAGGAAAAACCACAACAAGCAATTTAAAAACAAAAGCCTATGCATTGTGTTTAGCTTAGGACAAACTGAGTTACAATTTTAATATCTAAGTATCTAACAAAACACAGCAGAAAACCATGGCAATGAACATTCAGGCAACACTAATTCACAAAGTCACTGCCAGGGTTAAAATTTTAAACGTTTACTGAAAAGCATGGTCTTTATGGGAATTAATATGCCAAAGGGTTTGTGTAATTAAGTACCAATTTTGTGAACTTGGCTTAAATGGAACCGTGTCATGGAACAAAAGTAAGCTTTTAAGGACTCTGGTCAGGAACAAGAGGGCAAAAAGGAAGACTTTTCTGAAACTGTGTCAACTATGTCAATTCCAAAACAAAACTCTACGACTCAACCTTGAGTGTCTAGGACCACATGGCTATGAATGAGAGCTAGAGACAGACAGACTGCAGCCTTTATTTGACAGAATTAAAAGCCACAGGCCACTAGCTCTCTCTATCCCTCCCCTACAGCCATCTGGGGAGCAGCTAGTAGCAGTTCTTGAAAATAACCCAAGGAAAAGAAAAAAAATTCCCAAAACAGAAGCAAAGTCAGATTCTTTGAGCTCACAATTGACTAAGACCTTAATATTTTAACTTCTGAGGACATTCGTGGTCTCTTGAAGAAGTGATGCTTGCTCCTTAAAGGACTCCTATTCGGAGGAAGGGAGGGAGGGAGGGAAAGAAGGAGGGAGAGAGAGAGGCTGAGAAAGGGAGCATGAAAGGCTGTCCAAGGTTAAGCCTTTGGCCAGAAGCCTAAAGCTGGTACTCCAACCTGCTTTATTCATTCTAGAAAATCTTCTAAGACATTTTAACCTGACATTTAACAACTGGAGATTTTACTTAAAAACCTGACATTTAAAAATTAGAGGTTTTACTTAAAAACTTAAGACTTTGGGCCAGGCATGGTGGCTCACACCTGCAATCCCAGCACTTTGGGAGTCCAAAGCAGGTGGTTAACTCAAGATTAGGAGTTCGAGAACAACCCCGTCTCTACTGAAGATACAGAAATTAGCTGGACGTGGTGATACACGCCTGTAGTCCCAGCTACTCAAGAGACTGAGGAACGAAAATTGCTTGAACCCAGGAGGTGGAGGTTGCAGTGAACCAAGATTACATCACTGTATTCCAGCCTGGGTGACAGAGCAAGACTATGTCTCAAAAGAAAAAACACAACACAACTATTAAAGGATATGACCTATAAGAGAATGGGATCAGCCGGGCGCGGTGGCTCACGCCTATAATCCCAGCACTTTGGGAGGCCGAGGAGCGTGGATCACGAGGTCAAGAGAGAGACCATCCTGGTCAACATGGTGAAACCCCATCTCTACTAAAAATACAAAAATTAGCTGGGCATGGTGGCATGTGCCTGTAGTCCCAGCTACTCGGGAGGCTGAAGCAGGAGAATTGCTTGAACCCAGAAGGCAGAGGTTGCGGTGAGCCGAGATCGTGCCATTGCACTCCAGGCTGGGTAACAACAGCGAAACTCCATCTCAAAAAAAAAAAAAAGAGAGAATGGGATCACACTGGGAAAGCAGAGTACTATTATTATTTTTTACTTCTTTTTATTGTTTTTTGAGACAGGGTCTCACAGAGAATCACACTTCACCCAGGCTGGAATACAATGGCGCAATCATGGCTCACTGCAGCCTCAACCTCCCAGCTCAGGCAATCCTCCCACCTCAACCTGTAGTCCCAGAGTAGCTAGGACTGTATTCACACGCCACCATGACCAGCTAATTTTTGTATTTTTGGTAGAGACAGGGTTTTTGCCATGTTGCCCAGGTTGGTCTGGAACCCCCAAACTAAAGCAATCTGCCTGCCTTGCCCTCCCAAAGTACCAGGGCTACGGGCATGATCCACGGCGCCTGGTCAAGTATTATTTTGTATCGTATGTGTTTCTCTAGCATTTGCGCTGTTTAGTGTGAATGTATGGTTTTGATAGAAAAATACAATTCCAACTAAAACAAAATTCTTAGGAAAGAAAACTGTGTTACGGAAAATCATTAATCCAGAATGCAGTGACATCTGAACAGAACTCCAGAGGACTTCCGGCCATCTCCATCTACTAGGTACAACCTTCAGGGGGCCTTTTGGGGACACTTCTCATTTCTGGGTCCCTAGCAGCAAGAATCCCATGTGGTGACTTGTTGAAAATTTGCTCTGTGGCCCCCTGCATTTCCCCACGATTGCTGTGACGCTCACCTGCTTGGGCCTGCCAGGTTTGCACCTACGGGAACCCCCCGTATCCAAGCGGTCTCCACCCAGCTCCCCCGCACGAGGCTGACCTGTGCTCTTATCCAGGAAGTCCATGGACTCCTCGCTCGCGCTGAAGTGGCTCGAAGTGGCCTTCTTCTCAGCATCCTGCTCCACGTCGGAGCCCGTGTGCACGGAAGAGTTTGTGCTCATGGGGGAGCGCGGCATGTCAGACAAGGAAATCCGGCGGCCCGTGCCCCCGCTCAGCACGGGCTTGCTCATCAGGATTTTGGGGGACGCCGTCATGTCGAAGTTGAGCTTGACCTTCTCCTGCTTGTCTATCTTGGCTGTGCCGGCGCTGGGGTTGCTGGGATCGAGCAGCATTTGGTACTGGCTGTTGGGCGTGTAGGGTGTCCTGAACGGAGAGTAGTTAAAAACACCAAACTTCCTGCGGATGTTCTCCACATAAACCTCCATCTCTTGCATGGCACTGTTGAAGATGCTCTTAGTCTTTTTCACAGAAAAAGGAATTTCTTTAGACATGAGGTAGCAATTATTTATTGGAACCCAGGCCCTAGGAGGGCAAAAGATAAAGAGTTTAAGTCAACTCCAGTAATTTCCAAGATTGTTTTTTCTTTTTTTTTTTTTTTTGAGACGGAGTTTTGCTCTTGTTACCCAGGCTGGAGTGCAATGGCCCGATCTCGGCTCACTGCAACCTCCGCCTCCTGGGTTCAGGCAATTATCCTGCCTCAGCCTCCTGAGTAGCTGAGATTATAGGCACGTGCCACCATGCCCAGCTAATTTTTTGTATTTTTAGTAGAGACAGGGTTTCACCATGTCGACCAGGATGGTCTCGATCTCTTGACCTCGTGATCCACCCGCCTCGGCCTCCCAAAGTGCTGGGATTACAGACTTGAGCCACCGCGCCCGGCCTAAGATTGTTTTTTTCTTGATGTGAACCAAATTAGCCAAGCATGTTTGCCAAGATTGTTACTCTACTAAAAAAAAATCAAGTTGGTTTGAAGGATTAATTAATGTTCCACTTAACAAGCATGTTCTACCGTAACAGAACATGAACAAAAAAACTTCAGCTAAATCGTCTAAAAGTGCAATGGACGTAGTCACTGTAAGCCATTAAAGAAACAATCCTCTTTGGTTTTCTCTTGGTGGAGAAAAATAAATCAGCCACTGCATCTGACAACACCTTGAAAAGAGACTGATTCCTCACACCGCACTCAGACATGAAGAGCTGCCTTTTCCCACTGCGATTCTCAATGGGACTAGAAGGAAACTTTGGAAAACTGCATCCCTAAAAGGAAGCACATGCTTTTGAATGTGAGAAAATTCACAAAGAAAATCACTGAAAAAGGAGTCCATTAGCCTCCAGGCATAAATTTTCCAACTCCCATCCCAAGCAGGTTCCATCTTCCTAATATCCATACGCCACACTCCAATTTTGCTCTACAAAGACCCATGAGAGCAAAAGACACCAGCAGCTTTTCTGGAACCAGGGCCAGTGACCCTCAGGGGAGGTAGAAACACCACAACTGCTGCCGTGGGTGACCACACAGCTGATACAGGGGCATCCCAGACATAACTTGGCCACCATGTATGATCCGCTGGGTCAACCCGGTTTCTGGCTGGGAAAACTGGTGGAAGCAAGCTTTCTAAGCAGGGCTTTCATGGGGGGATTTTTATTTATTTATTTTTTTTGAAACAAAGTCTCGCTCTGTCACCCAGGCTGGAGCACAGTGGCATGATCTCAGCTCACCAAAACCTCCACCTCCTGGGTTCAAGCTATTTCCTGACTCAGGTTTCAAGTAGCTTGAACGACAAGCGTGCACCACCACGGCTCAGCTAATTTTTGTATTCTTGGTAGAGATGGGGTTTCACTAAATGTTACCCAGGCTGGTCTTGAACTCCTGACCTCAAGTGATCCACACAACTCAGCCTCCCAAAATTCAGGGATTACAGGTGTGAGCCACAGCACCCAGCCTTTTTCATTTCGGTTTTTAAGAGACAGGGTTTCCCTCTGTCACCCAAGCTGGAGAGCAGAAGTATGATCAAGGCTCACTGCAGCCTCGAATTCCCAGACTCAAACAATCCTCTCAACTCAGCCTCCCGAGTAGCTGGGACTACAGGCACGCACAACACCCAGATAATTTTTTAATTTTTGTAGAGATGGGGTCTCACTACATTACCCAGGATAGCCTTGAACTCCTGGACTCGAGCGATCCTCCCACCCTGGTCTCCCCAAGATCTGGGATTATAGGCGTGAGCTACCACGCCCAACCTCCAAGGTGCCCTTTTGGATTTCACAGACCACTAACTCAAGCCTGGTAGAAAGCAGTGGGAACAAAGGAGACTTCACAGAAGTAGAAAACTCGTGTCTGGGAGAAAGGGAGAAAGGAGTATCTACTCAGTTGCTATCCAAAGCAATCATAGAAATCTGGACCCAACACTGCCACATCTTCCAACATTTTAAAGAGAAGAAGAAAAAACAGACTTCTTATGTTACATTTCACCCCCATTTCAACAGTTGGCATCTAAGAGAAAACAACCCAGGAGAAATAAAGCATATTCCTGGGCCAGAATTCAGAATTCAGGCGGATTGTTTGCAAGTCTTGGCGATACCAGATCGCAACACAAACTAAAACTAAACGCCCCAAAATATCGATCTGCTCTGCTCTATCCGAGTGCTGGAAGTCACCAGTTTCTCATTCATTCTGACTGCCGTCTTTCTGCTGAGACCTGAAGAACTTACTGAGATCTCAGCAAGAGGGGCAGAGCAGAACAGAAGCAGATGCCCCCAAGGTAAGCGTTTGCCTCACGGTGAAATTCTGTGTTCAAAGCCAGCAGGCACAGATCGGGGCTACTAGACATGACAGATCTGAGACGGCATCAGGGTCTCCAGGGCTGTCCCAGGACAAATGACTCTCCCTCCCTGGGCCAGCCTCAGCTTTGTCACCAGGAAAAAGGAGAGTGAGTCCCTATCTGGAGAATCAAGAGGCAGGGCCACCAGAAGCTTATCACCAGTTGGTGCTGGTCTCATAACCTCGTCAGCCACATGCCCCACTCCCACTTCACCCATGCACTTTTGTCCGGTATCCACGGCCTTCACTGTTCCCTACTCCCATGTATTTTCCATGAAATTCCTTGGCAGGGAGGGGAAAGTGTTTCTTTTCTTCAACATAAGCCCACTGCCAGGTGCAGTGGCTCACACCTGTAATCCTAGCACTTTGGGAGGCAAAGGCAGGCAGATCACAAGTTCAGGCATTTGAGGCCAGCCTGGCCAATATGGCAAAACCCCATCTCTACTAAAAATACAAAAAAATTAGCCGGTGTGGTGGCAGACGTCTATAATCCCAGCTAGTCGAGAGGCTGAGGCAGGAGAATCAATTGAATCCCAGAGACAGAGGTTGTAGTGAGCCAAGATTGCACCACTGTGCTCCAGCCCAGGTGACAGAGCAAGACTGTCTCAAAATTAAATATAATATTGGGTAACATTGAAAGGTGAAATGGTGAAAAATAAATAAATAAAATATAATAATAATAAATAAATAAAACAAGCTCTGGGCTGGCATGTGGCTTACGCCTATAATCCTAACACTTTGGGAGGCTGAGGTGGGCGGATCACCTGAGGTCAGGAGGTCAAGACCAGGCTGGCCAACAGGGTGAAACCCTGCCTCTACCAAAAATGCAAAAATTAGCCAGGTGTGGTGGTGTGCCCCTGTAATTGCAGCTACTCAGGAGGGTAAAGTGGGAAAACTGCTTGAACAAGCCACTGCCCTCCAGCCTGGGTGACAAAGTAAGATCTCATCTTAAATTAATTAATTAATTAATTAATTAATTAAAACAAGCCCAGGAAATATTTCAAGGGAAATTAGATTTGCTTAACAAAATAGAGTCTCTGGGCAGGGACAATATCTAGCTTCGCACTATCTTAGTTCCAACACCATGGTGGCTTCTCCCTAGCTATGTTGTGTGACCGTGGGCACAATACTGCTCTAATCTTAAGTTTTCTTATTGATAAAATGGGCATAAAAGCAGCTTCTACAAAAAAGCACTTGAAACACCAATTGGTTGGTGTCCACTTTTTTTTTTTTTAACTCTGCAGGCATTTAATAAAATATTTCCTGTATTTTTGCATAACTGTGTATACCTGTGCCTCTATAAAATGAAACCAGGCCAGGTGCAGTGGCTTACACCTGTAATTCCAGCACTCTGGGAGGCCAAGACTGATGGATCGCTTGAGTCCAGGAGTTCAAGACCAGCCTGGGAAACAGAGTGAAACCCCATCTCTACTAAAAATACAAAAAATTAGCTGGGCATAGTGGCACTGCCTACAGTCCCAGCTACTTGGGCAGGAGAATGGCTTGAACCCAGGAGCGGGGAGGTTGCACTGAGCCGAGATCTTGCCACTGCACACCAGCCTGGGTGACAAAGCAAAAAAGAATGACTGTCAGAACTTCCCTGCCCAAAGCCTACATCCTGAGATCTCCAAAGTTGTTTCTCCATCACCATGGAAGGTCCTGAACAACTCCCTCCAGAGGATCCCCTCACCAAAACAAGCCCAACAGCATGGTGCACACTCCCTCAGAGCAGACACAGCAGGTGCTAAGAGGGGGTAGGAAACTCGTGATCATCAGACACATGCTGCTTTCTTTTGCACAAACAGAAGGGGGCCAGCTTCCATGACAGCTCTGATCCAGAACCAAGACCTAAACACACAAGTTTTTGGGAAACAGCTTCTGACACAGAGCTGGCCAACTCACATGCTGCTCTTCACGCCCTGTAAGCTGCCTTCAGTGGCTGTCTGGCAAGTGAGAGATGGAGGTCCCTGCAGAGCAGTCACAGCTGAGAGACTAGAGCCATCAACCCTAAGGGTCTGGGAATACTGGGTGCAAGGTGGTAGGTACTGTTGTCTATACCCTGCCTGTGCCCTGAGTATATCTACTCTTACTATATTACTGTATAATCTATAGATAAGAATCCCAAATCATCAAGATGGTTCACATTTGCCATGCTCTGATGAATAAAATACAAACTTCTGCCTACTCCTCTGACTCCAGCTCCTGGCATCCTCTCCTCCCCTGACCCCAGCTCCTGGCATCCTCTCCTCCCCTGACCCTGTTCAAACCACACTGTCCTCCCAGCATTTCCTGAACCCTCTCAGCCTCAGTCCTTCCCCTCCCGAGCCTCTGCTCTTCCTGGTCCCTTGACCCAGATCTTCACACCAGGTTCCCACCATTACCTCCTGATCTGAGATTATCTTGCCTATTAGTTCACCTATGTCCCATCCTTCTTCCCTGCTAGGATGTCAGCCTTCACATGGGCAGGACCATCTGAATCACCAGCCTCCACTACACAGCCTGGCATGCAGCAGGCACCAAATATGTATTTCTCTGAATGAAGGAATAAAGGACTTAAAGTCAAGGTGTGATACTTCCTACCAAATCCAGCACCATGTCAATAATTTCTGTTTTGTCTTCTCACAGTAGACTGTTGGAATTCCCAGTAAACGGGTTTGCAAATGACTTGGGAATTCACTCTTTAGGTCTGTAAGATGACTTGCAGAATTTAACAGGGGAAACAAATTTCAGCTTCTGGACCCTCTGTGTGTGTACATCATTTTTAGTGTATGTACTTTAAGGAGTCTCCCCTAGACACTAACACGCTTTCTCAAACTGATCAGTAGGGCTTCAAAAGGGTCCTTGCCTTACTTAATCCTAACTTGCTAAAAGAGGACTAAGATATTACCTGCTGCTCATCTGTGCCCATCTGTTGTTCTCAAGCACGCAGTGAGCTCCACTCTACAGGGAACTGCTATTAGCTGGAATAATTCACTCTGCGTGTGTGGAGGGAAAGGGGAGGGCAGGAAGGCTGGGAAGGAGGGCTCACACCTGTCAAAACAGCAACCCCTTATAATTTCCCGTTGCAGCTTCAGAGAAAAGGGAATAGGAGAGAACTACTCAGCATGATGATAAGACATTCATTTACTGGCAATCTGGAAAACTACTTCTTATCTTTGGAAGAATGATTTGGAAAGCAATTTGCATGGAGGCTTAATTTACTTCAGAAACCTCCTCCCAAAAACCAAAACAAAAAAAAACAGAACAGCAGCATTTCAAATAGTCACAGAACCCATTCCAATGCTGGTTTCATCAACAGACCCAGTAAAGTAAGATTATTTTCTAGCACACCTGAGAAAACAGTAGCCGACGCAATTATCAAGCTTAACGTACCTCAGGAAAACTCATTTCAACAACAAGATCAATGGCTGGTTATCATGACAATCATGAAAATAACAGCTACAGCCTCTACTTCTTTTCTGATCTAATAACAGTATCAAAGTTCAGTGAAAGCTACATGTTCCAAGCCTGTTATTAACTCCCACCTGTCATGTTGTCCAAAGAATCGGGCATCGACCTGCCCGTCTTTATCCCTCAGAGCTTTTGCAGGCCAGAATGGAAACCCCTTCAGTTTGGCCCAGACCAAAGGATGTGGATTGCTCTAGGAAAAGAAAAACGAGATCCAGAGTTTGTACACATTTGGTAGCAAGATACCCACTAAGCTTGGTAGGTGAGGATGAAGCAGGACTGTGGGACATAGGCCGTTAGTGGAAAGAGAAGTTTCCAGCAGGGTCGGCCCATGTGGTATTCTCTAAAAGGTGTGTATTCTCTAAAAGCCAACACACCTGGACAAAACTGCAAACAAAGTTAAATGGTGAAATCAAAAGCTGAAAGAAGGCTGGGCAAGGTGGCTCACACCTGTAATCCCAGCACTTTGGGAGGCCGAGGCAGGTGGACCACCTGAGGTCAGGAGTTCGAGACCAGCTTGGCCGAACATGGCAAAAATAGGAACATTAGCCAGGCATGGTGGTGTGTGCCTGTAGTCCCAACTATTTGAGAGGCTGAGACAGAAGAATCACTTGAACCTGGGAGGCGGAAGTTACAGTGAGCTGAGATCATGCCACTGCACTCCAGCCTGGGCGACAGATCAAGACTGTCTCAAAAAAAAACAAAAAGAATAATGACAAAATCAGGGTTGGATCCTGGCTGTTCCATTATTACTTGGGCAGCCTTGAGCAAGAGATTTCACCTTTCTATGCGACATGCACAGAGATAATGACTCCAATACCTTCTGTTACCTTTGGATTAAATGTGCATCATGCCTTGCATCTAATAAGAGGCAATATTTTGCTACCTTTAATCTTTATTGAAAGCTATGCAGAGCCTTCGCTATTCCAGTGTTAATCTCCAAAGGCACAAAGAGATGTAAAGTATGTTTTCTCAACTTTCCTTGCCTCATCTTGCCCCTGAACCCACTCCAACCTACCACCCCCAACACACACACCAGTGCACCCCAACAATGTACTTCTCTCTGCAGAATCCCAGCTTGGAAAAGGCATATCCATGGGGAAACTAGGGTGACTTTACTTCCCCCAAGAAGTATGTTTTAGAGGGACTATGGAGTTAATCCAGGGAAGTGTTTTCCAAACCTCTTAAAATAGAACCAACATGATTTGTAAATCACACACTGATTTAAGCTCATCTTAGGATCTATACAGCTTTGCTGCATCCCCCATCTCTGATGAGCTCCCTTTTACGCTGCATCTTGCAGTCTGCCCAGGCTAATCAACCCAGGAAACCATGATGCTATCTCTGGTGCATGAACTTTCAGCCTAAGAGGTTTATCCTACCTGGATTACTTTTTCTCTGCCATAACTTTATCAGCAAAAATTTATCTTGAAACTCCATCCAAAGTTTCATCTAATAAGCCACCTGGAAAAAGCTGTCTTGGGGTAGTCATCCATGGCACAGAGTTCAGTAAATGAAATAAGCAAAGTAAATCCAACTTACACAAGGCTCACAAAACCAGTTATCTCGTTTTTGGCAAGCAGCTAGATAACATTCTGGACATACTTCAATTTCATTCATCTGTAAAGCAAAAATGCATTAGAATGTGTCACCCCAGGGGTGGATATCTTGTGGACCTCAATCAGTGCTTGATGATTTTGAAGGTTAAGATTTTTTAAATTCCCACAGAGGGAATACCTTGGAGGTAAATCCAACCACTATGCATCACTCCCAATGCTTCCACCCAGTCCAAGCCACCATCCTTTCTCTCTGGACCAATGCAACAGCTAGCTCCCCATGTCACCCACTTTCGCTCTTACCTCCATTACGGACATTACCTGTGAAGCAGCCACAGCTACCTTTTTTTTTTTCCTCCAGAGTCTTACTATTGCCCAGGCTGGAGCGCAGTGGCCCTATCTCAGCTCATTGCAACTTTCAATTCCCAGGTTCAAGGGATTCTCATGCCTCAGCCTCCCAAGTAGCTAAGATTACAGGCATGTACCACCACACCCAGCTAATTTTTGTACTTGGAGACAGGGTTTTACCATGTTGGTCAAGCTGGTCTGAAACTTCTGGCCTCAAGTGATCCACCCGCCTCAGCCTCCCAAACTGCTGGGATTACAGGTATGAGCCACCACACCCAACCCAGAGGTACATATTATACACATAAATCTGATCCATGCCAACCCAGAGCCACCTATTATAGACATAAATCTAATCTTGTCCTTCTCCTGCTTAAAAGCCCCTAGTGACTTCCAATTATACGCAGTAGTTCTCTGTCAGAGCACTTTAACCCTTCCCTCTATCCCCGGAGATCACGTGGCAATGTCTGGAGACTTTTTTTTTCTTTTTTTTGAGATGGATTCTCACTCTGTTGCCCAGGCTGGAATGCAATGGTACGATCTCAGCTCACTGCAACCTCCACCTCCCGGGTTCAAGTGATTCTCCTGCCTCAGCCTCCAGAGTAGCTGGGATTACAGACACCCGCCAACATGCCCAGCTAATTTTTGTAATTTTAGTAGAGACGGGGTTTCACCATGTTGGCCAGGCTGGTCTCGAACTCCTGACCTCAGGTGATCGACCCACCTCAGCCTCCCAAAGTACTGGGATTATAGGCATGAGCCACCGCACCTGGCCTGGAGACACTTTTGATTGTCACAAATGGGCCAAAGGAGGTATGGGGACTACTGGAATCTAAAAGGTACACGACAGTCCCTGCAACAAAGAATTCTCCAGCCCTAAGTGTCAGCAGTACCAAGCTGAGAAACTAACAATGAAGTCTAATGACCTGACAGGTCCCTTGAACGCCACATGTGATCTGGCCTCAGCCTGCCTGTCTGGGCTCACCCTGCAGCAGCTCTGTTCCCAACCCCTTCCAGCCACTCTGGCCTGCTCTGGTTGCCAAGCTCAATTCTACATCCAGAGTAGCTAATGAATACCATGTTGCCCTATTTCATCTCCACTGACAACTATCTGAAAATTCAGTTAACTTTTTTATTGTCCTTTTCTCGAATAAGAAAGTACACTCGGCCAGGCGTCGTGGCTCATGCCTGTAATCCCAGCAGTTTGGGAGGCCAAGGCGGGCGGATCACGAAGTCAGGAGATTGAGAGCATCCTGGCCAACATGGTGAAATCCCATCTTAAAAAAAAAAAAAAAGAAAGTATACTCCCCTAGAGTAACATTGCAGCTTACAGCCAAAGACCCCAGAAGCTCCTTTCTAGGATCTCAATTCAGACTCCACCATTTATTAGCTCTGTGACTTTAGGGTAAGCTGCCTCTCTTCTTGGAGTCCCCACTTGCTCATCTATTGAAAAGAAAGGAAAGCAGCACCCACCACAAAGGACTGTTATGAGACATTAAATGAGATAAATATAAAGTGCTTCAAGTGACAGAGTAATCAATAGCGCCCATAAACATTTATTGAAGGCTTAGAGTGTGCTGGTATCATTCTAAGAATTCTGTAGGTATTAACTTACTTATTCCTTACACCCCATTAAGATAAAGAAAGTGAGGCCCCAAAAAGTTGAGTAACCTGCCCAAGGTCCTACAGCAGCAAAGTGGCATGGTCTGGATTTGAACCCAGGCAGTCGGGCTCCAAAGCCCTGCAGGTCCCCTGCACTGTAATTTGCTATTCCTTTCTACCACTATCAGTCTTATTCTTCTCTTTAACACCTATCATCATGCAAGGTGCTACATATATAACAGCTGTTCAATAATTAAAAGACCAACAGACTTCACAGGTCAGCGAATAAATAAGTGAATAAATGCGCGAACAAATGCATGGATGGTAGAGTGTATTTCCTGCTTCTGGCCTGGTCTACTTCTGGGCTATTCCAAGGGAACATATCCAAAACAGCCCATCAGGACTTGTCGTCAAGGAAATGCAAAGTAAAATCACAGTAAGATGCCTACCGTTTTTTACAAATCTCATTGTTGTGGGGGGCGGGGGACATAGCGTTCTGTAATTACAACTCCCGATATTGGAAAGGACATCACCTCATTGTAAATGGAACATCTGACATGTTCACAGCCTCACAGTAATTTTCCTTCTAAAAATTAAACTAAGGAAATCATCAAATGTGCAATGATATTCATCACTTTGTTACTTAAAATACTGATACAACTGGGTACTACCCTTAATGACAAGGAGTAAAATGAATGTCCACAAGTTGTATATAATACTAAACAGCCATGAAAAATTCTGTTCTAAAAAAACGAAAAGAAAGAAAAATTCTGTTCTTCTACAAGTTTAATTACCTAGGAAACAGAGAAAATACATAAAATAAACTAAGTGAAAAGCCAGGTTATAAAACTCTCTATCTATAAATATGTAGACATAAGCCAGGCATGGTGGCTAAGGCCTATAATCCCAGCACCTTGGGAGGCCAAGGCAGAAGGATCGCTTGAGCTGGTTGGAGTTTGCAACCAGCCTGGGCAACATGGGAAAATCCCATTTCTTAAAAAAAAAAAAAAAAAAATTAGCCAGGCTAATTAGCTGGGTGTGATGGTGCATGCCTTTAATCCCAGCTACCCAGAAGGCTGAGGTGGGAAGAACACCTGAGACTGGGAGGAGGGGCTACAGTGAGCCACAATCACACCACTATACTCCAGCCCAGATGACAGATTGAGACCCTGCCTCAAAAAATACATAGATAACTATATCTATGTATAGATATAAATTTAATAGACAGATTATCATTTTTTTTCTTGAAAATATTCTCACTCTGTTACCCAGTCTGGAGTGTAATGGTGCCGTCTTGGCTCACTGCAACCTCTGCCTTCCAGGTTTCAAGCAATTCTTCTGCCTTAGCCTCCTGGTTTATCTGGGATTACAGGCATGTTCCACCACACCCAGCTAATTTTTGTATTTTTAGTGGAGACGGGGTTTTGCCATGTTGGCCAGGCTTGTCTGGAACTCCTGGACTCAAGTGATCTGCCTGCCTCAGGTTCCCAAAGTGCTGGGATTACATATGTGAGCCACCACACCCAGCCAGGCATCTATATATCTATCTAACTAGATCTATCTATCTATCTACAGATCTGTATCTATCTATCCAGATAGACAGACAGATAGCTCTGTATCTATATATCTATAAAGACATACGTGGATGGGTCCCAATGCTTCTGAACAGTTCCTCTTTATGAATGAATGAGAGCACACTGACAGGCTGAAGGCCATTACATCTCAGTTTTCTATTCTCACAATGGGATCTAATAAAGAAAGCCTCCCTCATACCACTTTGGCTGCCAGTCTGTCCCACAACCACTAGAGCCTCACGGCTCACATGCCTAAGAGGCCCATTCCATCCACACCATCACAACTATGGGCATTTGCAAGAAAACAGATTCTCCTGGATACCTGGGCTACCCTCCCAGAAGCAGTCAAGGCCATTCCCCCAATATCAAATCCTCTTCTACAAGGGAACCAAAAGGGACCTGACAAAAAAGGGACTGGTCTGTGAGGCCAAGGTCAGAAATGATGAATTCTATCTAATACCAGACGGTGAAGCCAAGGTCAGAAATAATTAATTCTATCTAAGTAACCAGGAAAAGACAGGAGGCCCGTGCTTCCTGGTGACTCAAGGGTAAAAAACAAGAAATCCTTTCCATCTCCCTTAGATCACTGTTACGGTAAGGGTGTTTTATAATACACTGGGGCCCCTCTTTGTTGCTTTTCCTTTCTCAAAGACTAGGTGTGCTGCTTCAACAAATTCTGAAATCACCTCTGCTACCTAATAGGATTTTCTGCAAATGGAAACTTCAGCTACCCCATCCCCCGCCTCTGGGTGCATCTAAAACAGGACAGTAGAAACACATACCTCATGTTCACAGATTTTGATGACTACTTTCGCTATTTGCGTCAATTTGTGATTTCCTAAGGGAATAAGAAAACAGGATTAATTCTAATGGAAATACTGTAACACCGGGCCTGGGGACTTGACTTCCACTAACGATGTGTTTAACTTGCTTTTCCCCAAGATTAAGCTTTTAAAGGCTAACACCAGAGGTTCCTGGCTTCTAACAGCGATTCACATTATGTGTGTGATTCTCCCCATCAATGTAGACGACTCTTTGGCGCCTCGCTGTCATCTTCTCTGCAACTGAGCAATTTATGTGGGTTTCCCTAGAGATCATGGATTAATATTCTTAAAATGCTTTGACATTCTAAAGGCTCTAATTAATGAAAAAAGTCCTTATTCTACCCATTGTCCCAGATGCCAATCCAAGAAGGGTATAAGAGAAAGAAGACATTTTCTTGAGTAGCTCTGGTGTGGCTGGTGCTGCAAAACATATTTTCTTCTTGGGCTGGGCATGGTGACTCACGCCTATAATCCCAACACTTTGGGAGGCCGAGGTGGGATGACCCCTTGAGCCCAAGAGTTCAAGACCAGCCAGGGCAACATAGTGAGACACCCCCATCTCTATAAACACACACACAGACACACACACACACAAACACACACGTGCACACACACACACACTTTCTTCTCAGCCCCTCAAGAACCCATATTAGGAAGCAGGAATAAAATGTGTCCATTTAATGAATGAGTAAACCAAGGTTCAGGAGTCATCACTTACATTACTTAGCTAATAGAATAAGCATCTAGCCCCAGGTCTAACTCTGCACTAAACCAGAGGACAAGATGGTCCAAAAGTAACATTTTCTTTGAAGCTTATGATATTTTTAGACATTGTAAATTTGTTGACAGGAAGATTTGACACACACAAACACATACAGTATACCTAGATTTCTGGTATGCCTTGAAAACTCAGAAGATCTGATAACTATAACCAATGGAGCACTGGAGCTGCCAACAGCAGCCTTTCCAGGCCAAGCAGGAGGTCCCTGTTCCCCACAATCCACAGCACATCACCTGACTCGCAGCCTTCTTGGCTCGTGCTAATGTTTTTATTCTTCCACCTGACCTCATCCTATATAATTTGATAGGCTGGGCCTTTCGATATATTTGAGTTTATAATCTTTACACAAATTCTTTTTTTTTTTTCAGGCAGAGTCTCATTCTGTCACCCAGGCTGGAGTGCAGGGGCACAGATCTCAGCTCACTGCAATCTCTGCCTCCCGAATTGAAGCGATTCTTATACCTAAGCCTCCCAAATAGCTGGGATTACAGTTAAGCAACATTACACCCAGCTAATTTTTGTATTTTTAGTAGAGACGGGGTTTCACCATGTTGGCCAGGCTGGTCTCCTACCCCTGACCTCAAGTGATCTGCCCACCTCAGCTTCCCAAATTGCTGGGATTACAGGTGTGAGCCACACGCCTGGCCCACAAATTCTTAATGCCTAGGTACCTCTCCTTTCCCCCCTCCTTGTACTCTCGGCCCTGCTATAGTTAATAATGCAGTATGTGTGCTTAAAGCAGATATACACCCATTCATATATCTTTCCTTAAACACTAGCAAACAGGCTGGGACAGTGGCTCAAGCCTGGAATCCCAGCACTCTGAGAGGCCAAGTTGGGCAGATCACTTGAGGTCAGACGTTTGAGACCAGCCTGGCCAACATGGTGAAACCCTGTCTCTACTAAAAATACAAATAATTAGCTGGGTATGGTGGCACACGCATGTAATCCCGGCTATTCGGGAGGCTGAGGAACGAGAATTGCTTCAACCCAGGAGGCGGAGGCTGCAGTGAGCCAAGATCACACTACTGCACTCCAGCCTGAGCAACCGAGTGAAACTGTCTCAAGAAAAAAAATAAAAAATAAAAATAAAAATCCCAGTTTTGCAATGAGCAAAATATCTGAATAGATATTTACAAAAACAGATAAACAAGTCACTAATAAGCACAGGAAAAGATACTCAACACCACTGATGGGGAGGAAAAGGCAAATTAAAACCACCAGGACATGTTTTTTTATGACATAATATTTTACTCCTTGGAGAACAGGTAAAATTAAAAAGGCAGACAGTATCAAGGGTTCACTTCATATTGTGTGGAGCAAAAGAGAACTCTAATATACCCTGCTGGTAAAATGTAAAATGATAGAACCACTTTGCAAAAAGACTTTGGTGAAACTTATTAAGGTAAATAAAAACCTACTCACTGTGCTAGCAACACCACTCCTCGGTATCTCCCCAAGAGAAAGAAAAACCTATGTCCATGCAAAAGCTTGCATACACAAGTTCACAGCAGCTGATTCCTAACAGCCCAAAGCTGAAAACAACCCAAATAGCCATCAGGATCAACAAGGCAAATGGATGAATGGTGGCATATTGATCGAATGAAAAGAAAAATTAGTCAGCAACAAAAAAAGGAACCACCAATAACATATAATCCAGATGACTCCCCAAAATACAACACAGTATGAAAGCAGCCAGACACAAAAGAGCACTCTCTCTGACTCCATTTATATGAAATTCTGGAAGAAGCAAAACTAATCCATCCTAACACAAAGCAGAAAGTGGTTCCTTTTGAGAGTGGGTTTCCAAGAAAAGGGCATGTATGAGAATCCAACAGGCCGACAGGAATGTTCTGGATCTTGTGTTAACAACAGTCATCAAATTCAATGACTATAAACATAAAATCTGTCTTTATTTTATGCAATTATACATCCATTAAAATAAGGTTTATAGAAACAACACTCAAAGGGAGCCATACCCTGCAGCCTTGAGCCACTTTAGATGTCAGCTCATACCTTAAAATAAACATGATCACTGCCTCCTATTCACACATACTAGCACAATCTAGACACAAGTATTCTCTGTATGAATTAAGAGTCTGATTTTTGATGAAGGGCGGGAATTTGTGGAACACACAGACAGCATACTCTCTTAGGAGTCATCAAAGCCACTCACCCCCATTATAAATAATGCAGTTGTGCAAAATCCACTTTGCATCAGCCAGGAAGGCTTCTGTGCAGCCATACATTTTCTTTTTCGCGTTCTGGGAAGAAAAGTGATGGAGCATAATCACGGAGAGTCTAGACAAGCCACAGTCAGTGACTCCTGTGTTCCCACATAATTTTCCTAGCAGTCATATGTCAAATTAATTAGTGTTCTTGTACTCAGTTCCCAAGAAGATTCTTTTTAGCCTACAACACACTGACTAAAGAATGCTTTCATTTTTGAGATCTATAACCCTATAAAAATGCACTTTGAATTTATTACAATAACTGGAATTTTCTCATCTTATAGTAGCTGTCTTTATCATGCAGCTTCTTCCGATCAACAGGGCATTTTATATATTTATACGTTATTTATTATTAGTCAGTCTCACACAAACCTCACAATAACTCAGTGAAGTACTTATTATCATACCCATTTTACAGAAGGGCAAATTGAGGTATACTAATGTTAAGGAACGTATCTAAAGTTCCACCAGCTCTTCATTTATAAAGCTAAGTTTCCAAACCCATTTCTTGAACGCCTTCTTTATTCCACCACACCATGAGGGTATGTGCAATTTCCTAAAAAAAGAGACTGGGTGTATGGTTTTGGAGTCATCAGGGAAGACAATATGAAGTAATGGTTCTTCCTTTTGAATGCATTTCACTGCCCATATTTTGTGGTGAACAGTCTGAAAATCAGCATCGGGATGATGTACACCATCTAAAGTATTACAAGGGTAATTTGCAGCGTGGAATTTTAGCATGAACTTTTAAAAAACACCTTCAGGCATTCAAGAAATATCCTTATTAGTAGAATAAGTCAAATTCTAAGAAGCTGCATCTTTGCTAATCTGGAGGCTTTCCGGACACTTAATTTTCTCTTCTTCCTTCCTGCTGCTCTCATTAGCACCTTCCAAAGAAAGAGGAGGTAACGCTCAACTCAATGAAAGCGCTAACTCTTAGAAGCTATGGTTTTTGCCGGTAAAAAGCTAGAATCACTCACGAAAGTATTACCAATGAATTTCAGCATTCCATTGCAATCTTGGAAGAATGTTACAAAGGAAAGATGTTAGAGAATCAAGAGTTCTTCTATCCAAATAAAAAAGGAGCAATGAAAACACGGAGAAGCAATTTAAGATTGTTATGCTGAACTTGAGATAGAACACGGGCAGTGAGGGAAGAGCCTTAGGCATCTCAACAACTGCTGGCTACAATGGTGAGGTTCTTTGACGGAGGCCAACCTTTTCCAATGTACAAAGGTCCATTGGATGGAAGATGTATTCCGCATAGTCAGGGTGCTGTTCCAAAGGAACGGGCTTCTGGAATGCGTCTGTCTATAAAAGAGAAGATATGCGCAAGAACGAAGCCATCATTACTGTGGAGAACCAAGCATTCATCCTAACAAATGGCTTGAAAAACAGAGACAGCTTTTCAGCTAATACAGTTCTAAAGGTTTCCATAAAGGCTGACCTTAGGGAACTTCAAATTGGTCTACCTTCTAATTCTGCCTGGTTATTGATAATTATGAGCCCAACTGGGTTGCAGTTTTATTCTTGGTTTGGTTTTCAATATACACTCAAGAAACAGATCCTGTCCTCTTACATTAAGAGTGACAATTACAATACGCACTGAAAGTTAAAAAGATGCTTTAATGAAATCAGCAACGTTCTGCCCTGACTGATTTGACATCCAACAATTTACTTGAGAAATTAATGTCTTCTTCAATTTTTCTTCTTGGTTTTTAATTCTACAGGGTTGACAAGTCTATGTGACTCATTCGTTTTGTAAATTGTCATTAGCACGTATAATGAAGCCTATGAAAATCGAAAGTAATTCCTTGCCATACTCAATGTAAAAATTCTATCATAGCAATAAAAAAAAAAAATTCTGTAAACCAAACTTACATGGCATGAGGCATAACAAAAAAAAATGAAAAAAAATAAATAAATAACAAAAAAAAAAGTAAACCAAACTAAGGCTATACCTTTTGCTTTCACTGAATGAGATTTTGTTTAAAAGGGCCCAATTTGTTAATGGTTCTCAATTGAATCGTATCCAATTCGCATACTCTAAATTTTTTTATAATAACATCAAAATTTCAGAACATAATTCAAAGCAAATTTTTTTTTTAAACAAAACCACAGTGATTAGCCCTAAGAACCGAAATTTCTGTATATTAATGGACTTAGCAAACTCTCAGGAGGTACACAAAGGGTTACCACTAGCCCATATGGTGCCTTTGTGCAAATCGGGTGGGGGGGCACCACATCCACAAGTTTCTCTAGTTTCATCTCTAGAGGCCGGGCTCAGTGATTCATGCCTGTGATCCCAGCACTTTGGGAGGCTGAGGCAGGAGGACCGTTTAAGGCCAGGAGTTGAAGACTAGCCTGGGCTACATAGTGAAACCCTGTCATTTAAAAAAAAATGATAAAAAAAAGTTAGCTGGGTGTGGTGGGCATGTGTGTCTATAGTTCCAGATACTTGAGAGGCTGAGGTGGGAGGATCACCTGAGCCAGGAGGTTGAAGCTGCAGTGAGCTATGATTTCACCATTGTGCTCCAGCCTGGACAACAAAGCAAGCAAGAGACTGCCTCAAAAAAAAAAAAAAAAAAGAAAAAAGAAAAAGAAAAGAAAATATTCATCTATAGAAAAAATGTCATAATATGCTTATTATATTGTCAAAATAATAGTATTTTCAAAACCAAGTTATTTTTCTGCCATTTTCCTGAAAAGTATTATGATAAATATACAAACCACAGCGGCTATGGTATGACTGAGACTCATAGGTGGGGAACCACTGTGAGGTACAGGACTGGCCGGCCCAGCCCCCGCAGGCACAGTTTCCTCAAGGGGCAAAGGCTATACATTAAATCCCCCTCAAATTTAAAGGAACTAACCACATTCTCACCCTCTGTGGAAAAGTCACGGGTTGAGTTTTCCTTGAAGGTTCCATCATCAAACCTTGGACATAAATAAACTGTGTTGTGCTCAGCTCCTCAGTGAAATGGATTTTCCTAACTCCCGCGGGAAGAAGCACAGAAGCACAAAGCTCTGCTTGCTGGATGTTGTATGAGGTTTCACTTTGCAGCCAGTCAGAACTTTTATCCCCCTCAACTTTTACTATGTCATTCATTGCCCAATTGATATGGTTTGGCTGTGTCCCCACCCAGCCTCATCTCAAATTTTTATCCCTACATGTCCAGGGAGGAATCTGGTAGGAGGTGACTGGTCAAGGAGGTGGTTTCCCCCGTGCCGTTTTCGTGATAGTGCCTGAGTTCTCACAAGATGTTATGGTTTAAAAGTGTTTGACAGTTCCCACCCCCTTCCTCCTGCTGCCATGTAAGACCTGCCTTGCTTCCCCTTCGCCTTCCATCATCGTTTCCTGAGGCCTCCCCAGCCATGCAGAACTGTGAGTCAATTAAACCTCTTTTCTGGCCAGGCGTGGTGGCTCATACCTATAATCCCAGCACTTTGGGAGGCCAAGGCTGGAAGATCACTTGAGGTCAGGAGTTTGAGACCAGCCTGGCCAACATGATGAAAACCCCATCTCTATTAAAAATATATATAAAAAAAAATGAGCCAAGTGTGGTGGCAGGCACCTGTAATCCAAGCTACTGGGGAGACAGAGGCACAAGAATTGCTTAAACCAGGGAGGCAGAGGTTATGGTGAGCCAAGATCACACCACTGCACTCTGGGTAACAGAGCAAGACTCTGTCTCAAAAAAAAAAAAAAAAAAACTCTTTTCTTCATAAATTACTCAGTCTTAGGCAATATCTTTACAAAAGTGTGAGACCAGACTAAGGTACCAATTAAACTTCTTTGGGACATACAGTGCTTACTACTACAGAGAATTAGCTGAATGACATCATATCTGATGTGTGATTTACATATGCTTGAATCTGGGGACACAAGAAGGCCCAAAGAATACATTAGGTGCCTATAAAGCTAAGCTATTAACAGAACAAAACAAACGTCACTACATTCATTTACACTTGTACCAAGAGGAACTTTCTTCTTACCCCTGGCTGTTTCATTTTCTGAATGGCAAACTTGAGCAGGTAGGATAACTGTTCAATGGTGAGCATTGTCATGGCTTTACTCTGGGTCTCGATGCATTCTGCTACTGTAATTTTCTACAAGTCAAAGTCACACACAAACGTCCGGTTAGCAAAAGAAATTACCATCCATGTACTGATTGTTTTTCCAGTCAACTCACACATAGAAAGCAATTCTCATTCAAATGAGACTTGTTGTTTCACTTAGCAAAGAACAAAATGCACCAGATCTACTGGAATAAAATGCACCAGATCAGTGGGTGACTATTAAAAAGCACATTCATCTATTTATTACCTTATCAGGAAGCATTTTTAGCTCATGAAGACAACATGATCTGAGGGAAGATGTGGGTAGACAGGGCCTGAAAAATCATTATTACAACCTATAGGTTTCAAGAATGAGATAGGAAAGGGAAGGCTGGGAGGGCACGGTGGCTCACACCTATATCAGCACTTTGGGAGGCAGAGGTGGGCAGATTGCTTGAGCCCAGGTATTGGAGACCAGCCTGGCAACGTGGTGAAACTCCATCTCCACAAAAAAATACAAAAATTAGCCAGGCATGGTGGTACAAGTCTGTAGTCCCAGCTACTCTGGAGGCTGAGGTGAGAGAATGGCTTGGGCCCAAGAGGCAGAGGCTGCAGTGAGTCGTGACTGCGCCACTGCACTCTAGCCTGGATGACCAAGTGAGACTCTGTCGCAAAATAATATATTAAAAAAAAAAGAAAGGAAAGGCCACGGATGATTTCAGGGTGATTACTTCACAGGATGAATACTTATCAGCCACTTATCCTGATCCTCTTAAGGTTCTGAGCTGTCGTTCTGGAAACTGACAAGGCATTAATTCAATGACATCACTGATGGAAAGGGAGAGACTTCCCTGCAGAAAGATTACAAGGGAAGGCAGTGGACTAGTAATACATAAGACTTCATTGTCCATCTCCCTGACCTTGAACCCACCTAAGACACTGTGTCAAAGTACACAAGGAGCACAACCTAACCTAACTGCCTATCTCCATGGGCAAGAGGTATCAGCTCATAAGGGAAATTCCTATCAAAGAAGAGACCCAGAGGAATGTCTGAAACCAGATTCTGCTATGTAAATCGGGTACTATATCCTAAGGCTTCAGAATCCTTATGTAGCAGCAACAACAAAAATAGCAAATTCTGATCATGTCAGGAAACACTCTTTAACCATCTGTGTAGGGAGAGCTGAGAAAAGTTTTCTCCAATTAATTTGGATTCAGTTTCCATTTTTCACATCTCTGGGGCCTCCAAAAGGAACTCTCAGATGTGTCTCGTTGGTTGTCGAGGAAAAGGCCAACACAAGAGTCACTCAGAAGCTGAAAACAGTGCATGACGCACGCATCTATTTGCTTAGCCACCAGAGCCTGCAACATTCAGTCTTCCAGTTGACTGCCATACCAACTCATCCCTGGGAGAAATTCAGGGCCCTGAATCTTAGACACCAAGCACCTGTTTTTTTTTAATCTGGTTTGTTTCCAGGTAACTTATCCATAGCAAACACTAAGGCTGCCTGCCCAACTATCATTCATTACCTCTCACCCCCTACGCCTTCTTCCTAGCAGGCAGTGCCTGGTTCGAACAAAACAAAAAGCACCAGATAAGCAATTTTCAAGGCTTTTTTTTTGCACAAGGGACTGGTGATCCAATGCTGACCAATGAGTCCAAAGGCAAATCAGCTGGGGATGATGGACAAAATCTTTCTGCTTGATAAAAAGAGATGCAAGGAGAGACAACCTCCTTTTGGGCGAATTCTTGTCTCTACACATATAATACCTGAACCCTGGCAGCTGGGGTTCATATAACCTCAATATTGGCCTTATATGGCCATGGGGAACATATAACCTCAACAATGAGATGGAAAAAGTCTGGCTCTAATCAACTCCGGCCTGGCTCTGCCTCGCCTCTGAGTTCTGATGATAACAAATCCATATTGTTTCAGCTACCATCCATCAGGAACTAGTGCTTGCATTAACAACTATTACTTGTTGGTCGGGCCCAGTGGCTCACACCTGTAATTCCAGCTGTTTGGAAAGCCAAGGTGGGAGGATCACATGAGCCTAGGAGTTCAAAACCAGCCTAAGAAACATAGCAAGATTCTGTCTCTACAGAAAATGTATTAAGTAGCCAAGTGCAGTGCTGTGCACCTGTGGTCCCAGCTACTCAGGAGCCTCCGGTAGGAGGATGGCTTGAGTGCAGGAGGTCAGGGCTGCAGTGAGCATGATCGCCATTACTGTGCTCCAGCCTGGGCAACAGAACAAGACCGTGTCTCAAATAAAAATAAAAGAACTATTATTTGCAGGAAAAGCATCCTATCAGAGCCACTACCATGTTTGCAATATCATTAAACAATTGGGAAGAGGTGGCCAAGACCAAAAAAAATTGGTGAAGGTTCCAGATCCCATGCCAAATGTAGTAGATAGGGTCAGGATCTGCGTGCAGAGGAGGGTGCCGCTGTACGATGCAAACTCCACATATTTCTCCATCTAGAGGAACCCAAAGAGAACAGCAGCCACCTTTTGCCATATTAGAGAGAGGATGTCATCACATGGATTTGATGTCTACTTTCTTTTTGTGTATTTATTTTTCTCCTCTCCCTATACAAAAGCCTAACAGACACTGTACTATAGCTTGCCTTTTTTTTTTTTTTTTTTTTTGAGATGGAGTCTCGCTGTCACCCAGGCTTGAGTGCAGTGGCGTAATCTCGGCTCACTAAAACCTCCTCCTCCCGGGTTCAAGAGAATCTCCTGACTCAGCCTCCCAAGTAGCTGGAACTACAGGTGTGCGCCACATGCCCAGCTAATTTTTTTTTTTTTTGTCATCCACTCCCCGCCCAGCTAATTTTTTGCATTTTTAGTAGAGATGGGGTTTCACTGTGTTAGCCAGGATGGTCTCGATCTCCTGACCTCGTGATCTGTCTGCCTCAGCCTCCTAAAGTGCTAGGACTACAGGTGTGAGCCACTGCACCCCGCCAACTTGCTTTTCGCCCTAGTAAAGATTATCTGGATCATCTTTCCATTTCACACATGGAAAGCGTCCTCATTTGAGATGAAACTCCAATGTACCTTTTTTTTTTCCTTTCTTTGAGACATAGTCTTGCTTTACTGTCCAGGCTAGAATGCAGTGGCATGACTACAGCTCACTTGAGCCATCTGGCATCAAGCTGTCCCCGAAGCTCACCCTCCCTAAGTAGTGGTGACTACAGACACACAGCACCATGCCTGGCTAATATTTAAATTTTTCTGCAGAGATGGGCATCTGGCTATCTTGCCCTCATAGGTCTTAAACTCCTGGGCTCAAGCAATATCCTACCTCAGGCTCCCAAAGTGCTAGGATTACAGTCATGAGCCACCATGCCAGCCTCCAATGTATCTTTGAATCCAAGAGACATCCACATTAAATAATTGTGGAGGACAATTATTTAGAGATGACATTTTTATTTTCAGTGATTCAAAAGAACACCAGAGTTGGGGGTCTCCAAGAACAGGAGTCAGCTCAGAACAGTGGAAACACTGCACTCCTCCCCCTCATCAAGTCTTCCTCAAATTTTAGTGAGGCCTTCCCAGAACAGACCACCATGTTCAAAATGAAAACACCTCGCTCCCCCGCCCAGATTTCCTATTCCCATCCTGAATTTGTTTTCTTCATAGCACTTTTAATTCATGATATAGAACTTCATTTATTTTGGTTTTTGTCCTTTTCTGTTGGAAAAAAAAAAAAAGAACGTGATTCATGCCTGTTTTGGGGCACTGTCACATCCCCAGCACCTAACAGGCACTTAAGCAATACTTGTTACATAAAAGAAAGCCTCAGATGGCTACCACAGGGAACACGCAGTCAGACGTGGTCTTCTCAGCTGGGCTACTGCTGATGATTCGATGATGCGGCAGGAAATGGCATCCAGGAGGGAGAAGAACAGCACGAGATCTTTTCGAAATGTGTCAGCCGTTCATGATTTTGGAGTTAACTTTCAAAAAGTTCATCACAGAAGATTCAGAGACGACAACTACTGATCTCCAAGCAATCCAAGGACTCATGAGAAGCCAGAAATAAAACTCCATGCAATTGTCTTTCCAAGAGCTGCAGTACTGCGGCCGCTGCCGATGATGATCGAGAAGGGGGTGACCAGGATAGAACAGGTGGAAAGCAAGAAATTTCTCTTTTCCATCTATCTGGATTATTTGTAAATTTTAAAATAAAAGGAAGAAAGAGAAAGGAGAGGAAACGAGGCAGGTAATGCATTCATTCATCAGGAACTAACCTCACATTCAGGACAAAACCAGTCCCCCTCTGGTTCCGATGTCAGTCTCAGACACTTAGCGTGATAAACCCGGGGACAGAGCTCACAGCAAAGGACTTGGCCTTCCCGGTGACAAACCCAGCAGTAGAAATCATTCCGTCCATCCTGCGGTACAACATCAACAGGGTCTGTGGTGAGTGGCTGCTTCATATAGTAAAACGGACCATGTCTTAGTTCTGACTGAAATGTAGGCAAGAAAGACAGGTTTGGTTTCAAAACAAATGTGCATTCTCAAAAGGAATTTGAACAAGTACATCAATAACAACAAAAGGAAATTACAGCATTTCACAAATTCATTAAAAAGCCAAACTATTTTAGGTTAGTCTAATAAATACAGCATTAGCAAGTTGCTAAGTACTATGAAGATTTTTCTTTTTTCTATTTTAAGAGGCCACAATTGAAAGCTGGTATCTAAGAGTTACTAGGCAGGCCTAGCAGAATAGCACACTGGCTACAACCCAGATCTACCTGGATTCAGATTTGAGCTCTATCATTAAAGGTCATGCACCTTAACCACTCAGCTTCAATTTTCTCATCTGTAAGATGGAGGTGATAAGACCTAACACTTCATGGCACTGTGTTGGTATTAAAGGGATGATATAATGTGTGCATATTTATCAAAATGCCACCATACTAACAATGCTAATGTGGTTAGAAGCCCAATTTATAAAGTCCCAATTTACAAAGCCAATAAAAGCATAGCAGTTTGCCCTGGGATTCTTTAAATGGCAGACATTTTGAGAATAGATCAATTGGGTTTGAGTCACCAAAAAACTGTTACCTAATTTTTAACTTTACCCCCAATAAAGTGTTTCTGAGCCAACAAGAGGCTTCCTAAAGCCATGATTCCTGAACATCGTAGGTCTTTGTTTTTACCAGGGAACCATGTCTCTTATTTGACATCAGCAACGGCAGAAAGATGAGATGGGTGGCCAATTCAGGGGCACTAGACCTCTTCCTGTCCCCAAATGTCAAGAGAAATACGTCTCTAACGATATATGATGGAATCCAGTGAAGCACACTTGAACACAAAAAGTCAGTCAAAAGAAACTTAAAATGTCTATCAGAAACAAATATGAAATGCTATTTAGGAAGTACACATAAGCCCAGTGGGAAGGTTCAAAAAGACCTGGTAATTAGCTGCATGATCCTAAGAAAGCGATTCAAACCACTTTGAGCCTTAATTCCCTGGCAATAAAACCACGGAGATAACTTAGCCACAGCGTATTACCTACCCTCGAGTAAATCTCACTATAAAACATGTTTCTTTTCTGTCCTTCAGCAAACCATGATGGCTTCCTCCATCAACATCTTCTATGCTGGTGAGATCCTGCATACTTTTTGATGATCTTACGAATGGGGATTTGCTAAATGGCTACCGTTGGTACACAGAAATGCTGTCAGATTTCTAATACCGACCTCATATTTAGACAGTTCCAATAGTTTATTGACTGAAAATCATATTACTCTAATACCAGTTTTGTCTCTTCCTGTCTAATACTTAAACATTGCTTTTCTTTTTAATGGTTAAGGCCTCCAGGATAACGTGCAAGAGTTGCCAAGATTGCAGGCACCCATATCTTGTTCCCAGCTTTTACTATGAGGTTTTCTTTTGTATTTGAGACAGGGTCTTGCTCTGTTACCCAAGCTGGAGTGCAATGGCATGATCTCGGCTCACTGCTACCTCCACCTCTGGGGCTCCAGCAATCCTCGAGCCTCAGCCTCCCAAGTAGCTGGGACTACAAGTGAGCACCACCATGGCCAAATAATTTTTTGGGTGGTTTTGTTTTTTTGAGACGGAGTCTTGCTCTGTCACCAGGCTGGAATGCAGTGGTGCAATCTCAACTCACTGCAACCTCTGCTTCCTGGGTTCAAGCAATTATTCCACCTCAGCCTCCAGAGTAGCTGGGACCACAGGCGTGTGCCACCACGCCCAGCGTTTTATTTTGTTTTTTTTAAATATAGACAGGGTTTTACCATGTTGACCAGGCTGGTACTATGAGTTAATGTTCTCAAACACCTGGTATTTCCACAATCCTTGATGAAGAGCCCTGTAGATGCCTGTTTAGCAGATCTTTGTTAACCACTGTTTCTAAGCCTCTCTATTCTCATTTCTACAAAGTAAGTAGCTAATATTTATAAATGTGATTTCACAATTTTTTTGTTTTTGTGAGACGAAGTTTCCCTCTTGTTGCCCAGGCTGCAGTGCAGTGGCGCAATCTCAGCTCACCGCAATCTCAGCCTCCTAGGTTCAAGTGGTTCTGCTGCCTCGACCTCCCAAGTAGCTGGGATAACAGGTACCCACTACCACACCCAGCTAGCTTTTTTTTTTTTTTTTTTAATGTTTAGTAAAGACAAGGTTTTATCATGTTGGCCAGGCTGGTTCTGAACTCCTGACCTCAGGTGATCCACCCGCCTCAGCCTCCCAAAGTGCTACTCCCAGCCAAATAATTATTCACAAGAACAAGGACGTGTTTGCTTCACCTCCCCACCTTGATTCTAAGTTGCCTGAGGCCTCCCCAGCCATGCTGAGCTGCTGAACTGCGAGTCAATTAAACTGCTTTCCTTTATACATTACTCAGTCTCGGGTATATCTTTATTAGCAGTGTAAGAATGAACAAATGCAGGAAAATATAAATGAATTTTATGTTTAGACTGGGTATGGTGGCTCATGCCTGTAATCCTAACACTTTGGGAGGCCAAGGCAAGTGGATCACCTGAGGTCAGGAGTTTAAGACCAGCCTGGCAACATGGTAAAACCTCGACTCTACTAAAAATACAAAAATTAGCTGGGCATGGTGGCACATGCCTTTAATTCCAGCTACTCAGGAGGCTGAGGAAGAAGAATCGCTTCAACCAGAGAGAGGTGGAGGTTGCAGTGAGCCAAGATTACACCACTGCACACCAGCCTGGGCGACAGCTTGAGACATCATCTCGAAAAAAACAAAAACCATATGTTTAGGCTTGAGTCCCAGCCCCAAGATATCTCACTATGCATATGCAAATATTCCAAAGTTTTTTTTAAAAAAATCAAAAATCAAAAACACGGCTGTGCGTGGTGGCTTACACCTGTCATCCCAGCACTTTGGGAGGCCAAGGCGGGTGGATCACAAAGTCAGGAGTTCGAGACCAGCCTGACCAACTTGGTAAGACCCTGTCTCTAAAAAATAAAAATTAAAAAGTTAAAAAAAAAATCAAAAACACTTCTGGTCCCAAGCATGGATAAGGGATACTTAACCCTTACTAGTCTTACTTGATGTTGGGAAAACATGGTTACTGGGTTAATGAGATTTATCTGACCAGCCAGGCACGGTGGCTCACACCTGTAAACCTAGCACTTTGGGAGGCTGAGGCGGGCAGATCATGAGGTCAGGAGATTGAGACCATCCTGGCCAACATGGTGAAACCCCGTCTCTACTAAAAATACAAAAATCAGATGGACATGGTGACGTGCACCTGTAGTCCCAGCTACTCCAGGAGGCTGAGGCAGGAGAACTGCTTGTCCTAATTTTATGAGTGTTAGAGTATTAGAATGTTACTGGAATCCAGCCAGGGATGCTTCTACTTGCCCTGCAATGCGCAGGATGTCTCCCACAATGAAACTTTTCTGGCCCCCAGTGTCACCAGTGTCAAGGTTGTTTGGAGGCAGAGGCTTCAGTGAGCCAAGATGGCACCACAGCACTGCAGCCTGGCGACAGAGCAAGACTCCGCCTCAAAAAAAAAAAGAGATTTATCTGACCTTGGAGTCCAGAGCAAAGACTCAAACCTGGGTCTCCCAGTACTCTCTCTCTTCCCAGTATCCCTCATAAGATAATGCTGAATCCAGGAGAGTCTGTGTTGACTTAGTGACCCCCACTCAGAGAACATTATCGGTAATACAAACTAAGTTCAGCTAAATGCACAAAGCTGGAAGGAAAGAACATCGGAAAATTAAGATGACTACTAAAAACCCGACAGAAGGGGGCATGAGCAGCATCCAGAGCAGGGGCTGTCAACCTTGGCACTGGTGACACGGGGGCCAGAAAAGTCTTTGTTGTGGGAGACGTCCTGCGCATTGCAGGGCAGGCAGAAGCACCCCTGGCTGGACCTCAGAAACACTCCAGTACCCTCATACACATAAAATCAGGACAATCAAAATGTCTCCAGACTTTGCCCAACGTCCCTTGGAGGTCAAAACTGTCCCTAGTTGAGAACCACTAATGTAGAGGGTCTGCAATCGGCCTAGGAAAATGGTTGCTTTGAATTTATTGTAGCGATATGGGGGAGGTTAAAGAGGAGATAAGGGGAGGAACAGGATGAAGGGGAAGAGAGGGTGGGCAATTTTGTTGAAACATAAACTATACATACCAAGCAACCATTTCCCTTTTTTCTTTTTTCCCCCTTTTTCTTTTTTCAGAACGATTTCTAACCTGAGTGGGGTCTTCTAGGATGCTACCATGGTTTTTGTAAGGTAATAGTAAGCCGTTTTTCCAGTATCTGACTTCTTTTCAATAAGTTAATAATAGGATAGGAAGAGTTGTTAAGAAGCTAGAAGAATCACCCGGGCACAGTGGCTCATGCCTGTAATCCCAGCACTTTGGGAGGCCAAAGCAGGCAGATCACCAGAGGTCAGGAGTTCAAGACTAGCCTGACCAACATGGCGAAACCCCATCTCTACTAAAACTACAAGCAGGCACCTGCAGTCCCAACTACTCAGGAGGCTGAGGGAGGGAGAAGTGCTTGAACCCAGAGGCGGAGGTTGCAGTGAGCCAAGATCACCCCATTGCACTCCAGCCTGGACAACAGAGTGAGACTCTGTCTCAACAACAACAAAAAGAAGCTGGAAGAATCAAATAGGAAGTTGCTCAACTTCCTAACCAGCAACTCAACTTTTCTGTCTGATAGTAGCTGAGGTACAGATGCTTCATAACTAAGTTTCTCCCGGTACTCCCCTCCCAACCCCACCATCACCTGGCTGGGACTGGGTTCCCCTAGGAGAATCCTGAGGACTGCTTGGCTGCTCCGTACTCTTTCCAGAAGATTTTTTCCCTTCCTGAAACAGCAGCAGTTGCTGAGAGCTAGATGCCTGGTTAATCACCTTATCAATCAGATACTTTCCTTATCTGCTGCTTGTAAGTGTTTCCTGTTCCACAAAAATAATCTGATAACAAATATGGAACATTTTACAAAGAAAAAGCAAA